TAGTGTTCCTGTCCTACCGTGAAGTGGAGGAAACGCCTGTGGCCCTCGAATATGTGAATGTGGAAGTATGCATCTTGGAGATTGAGGGCGGCATACCAGTCTCTGGGATCCAGGGAGGGAATGATGGAGGCCAGGGAGACCATGTGGAACTTGAGTTTTACCATGTACTGGTTTAGACCTTGCAGGTCCAAGATGGGCCTGAGGCCCCCTTTGACCTTCGGGATAAAGAAATAGCGGGAGTAGTATCCTTTTCATCTGAATGCCGCAGGCACCACCTCCACCGCTCGTAGGTGATGGAGCCGCCTCACCTCCTGCTCAAGTAGGCTCTCATGAGAGGGGTCCCTGAAGAGGAACGGGGAGGGAGGGTGGGTAGGTGGGGTAGAGAGAAACTGGAGGGTATAGCCCCGGGAGATGGTATTGAGGACCCATCGGTCTGAGGTCAGTATCGACCACTCTGGGAGGAAAGTACATAGGCGGTAGGAGAAGGGTAGGTTGGGCGGATCCCTGGTGCAGACTGGTAGGTCGTCCCCGGGTGTCCCATCAAAACTGGCGCTTATCCGTCTGCTTGCCCTTAGAGGGGCCAGACTGGGGTGCAGGTTGAACCTGTCGCTTCTTATAATTCCTGGATTTTTTTAAATTAGGAGGCTTGTATCTGGAGTGGGTGAGCTGGCTGGTGGCCTGCTGAGGCTTAAACTTGGCTCTTTCTGTGAGCTAAAGGAAGAGCTTAGGAGACATCCTGAAGTCCTTAGTCTTGTCCAAGTAGAATGCTATTGCTCTTCTAACATCTAGCATATGCAGAATTGCCTCCCTGATGTCACAATGTGGTTTTGGGGAAAAAACAGGAAAATGGATTCTGATTCATATGGAAAGTGGAGGTAACTTTAGGGAGAAACTTGGGATGCGGCCTCAGAGTTATTTTATCTTTATAAAAGACTGTGCATGGTGGTGTGATGGTCGGTGCCTCCCCATAAGGCTTTATGGAAATATGCTTATGAATACATATAACATAACTGAAATATGTCCTATGCTACACATGCCATGTAACATATCTCTGTAAAGGTTATAATCTACTGAATCTATTAATCCTATTTGTATGCATGTATCATTTTTGTATTCAAAGTTATGAATATTGGCTGCATACTTGTTTAATTCTAAGTGGGCTGTAGTGAAGCAGTTGGTCAGCTTCCTGAGAAAAAACTATTCTCAGTAAGTGCCCAATCAAAAAACACTTAAGCCAACAATGAACTTGGACACACCAATCCACAACTGGGCTTTCCCAGGAATGTGGCTTGGCTGGTAAGAAACTCAGTCATGCATGGACATGTTACTTGCCCAGGTGACTCCAAAACTCCATTTTGTAGCTGAACTTTACATAGGAGAGGGAAGGGGGTCTCCACCCACAAAAGAAAGTCTATTTAAGCCCGTGGGAGACCCCTCCACTTGGTCTTCAGCTGGCTAAAGAGAGAGCCTCTCCACCCCCAAAGATACCTAAAAAAAACCCCTGAAACAAAGGACAGTGATTGCAAGGGGTGTGAGTGATTGCTGGACCCAGACTAAAAGAAGATTAGTCTGTAAAAGGAAGCATTCTGAAACTGGTGAGAATTTTATCTGTATTCAGTTGGATTAAACATAGACTGGTGTGTTTTATTTTATTTTACTTGGTAATTCACTTTGTTCTGTCTGTCACTACCTGGAACCACTTAAATCCTACTTTCTGTATTTAATAAAATCCCTTTTTACTTATTAACTCAGAGTATGTATTAATACCTGGGGAGGGGCAAACAGCTGTGCATATCTCTCTATCAGTGTTATAGAGGCGAACAATTTATGAGTTTACGCTGTATAAGCTTTATACAGGGTAAAACGGATTTATTTGGGTTTAGACCCCATTGGGAGTTGGGCATCTGAGTGTTAAAGACAAAAACACTTCTGTAAGCTGCTTTCAGTTAAGTCTGCAGCTTCAGGGCAAGTAATTCAGACCCTGGGTCTGTGTTGGAGCAGACGGGCGTGTCTGGCTCAGCAAGACAGGGTGCTGGGATCCTGAGCTGCCAGAGCAGGAAAGCAGGGGCAGAAGTAGTCTTGGCACATCGGTTGGGAGTTCCCAAGGGGGTTTCTGTGATCTAACCCATCACAGTGGCGTAGTCGAGCAGGATCTGTGCACAGCTAATTGCTTTGAAATACTGGTAGTAATTTTAAGTAAGTTTTAAGGGTGGTGGCTGAAGAACAGACAAAGTGGTTACTGGTTTGTTGTTTTCTGTTTGCTTATTTTGGGTAAGGAAAGTAGGGACAGAAAAGGAAGCAAAATAAAGTATAAACACTGGGTGCCTGGAAAGTCTCTGTTAACTAAGAATCCCCTGAGCTGAGTGCATCCCAGTTTCAGTGAACTGCAGAGGGGGTGTGGCTCCACAGAAGAAAGCAGGAAAATGACTACCAGTGAAGCAGCAACTAAACTAAAGCTGGCTAGACTGGAAGCAAAAAAGAAAAAAAACAAAAACATAAAAGACTGATGGAGAGGGAGGAGGCTGCCCACAAGAGAGCTATGGAGGCAAAAACAGCAAGGATGGAGGAAGAGGAAGCTGCCCACGAGAGAGCTATGGAGGCCCAGAGGGAGGCCCAGAAGCATGAACTGGCTGTTGTGGAGTTGAAGAGACAAAACCCTCCACCTGCTGGTTCCACTTCCCCAAAGATCCATAAATGGGAGTGACTGTGTCCACAGTATGAGGAATCCAGCAATATTGCCAAATATTTCATCACCTTTGAGAGACTGTGCACCCTCCATTCCATCCCTGAAGCAGGGGTGGCTCCAGGCACCAGCGCATCAAGCGCGTGCCTGGGGCGGCAAGCCGTGGGGGGCGGGAGGTCCGCTGGTCCTGCAGTTTCGGTGGCAATTCGGCGGCGGGTACACCGAAGGCGCAGGACCGTCGGACCTCCCGCAGGCATGCCGCCGAAGGCTGCCTGACTGCCATGCTTGGGGTGCAAAATACATAGAGCCGCCCCTGCCCTGAAGATCAAAAGATGACCACATTGATAGCAAAATTGACTGGCAGAGTTCTGGACATATTCAATAAAATGCCGATTGATGATGCTTCAAACTATGGTAAATTTAAGGAACTGGTTTTGAAACAGTTTCAGGTTACACCTGAAACCTACAGGGTTAAATTCAGGAGTCTTAAGAGGGGATCTGGTTTGAGTAATGTGGTTTATGTAAATAAAATAAGAGATTTGGTAGATAAGTGGGTAAGGGGGAAAGGCATCACAAGCTTTGAAGGAATGTGTGATTTGGTTACTCAGGAACAATTCCTGAATATGTGCAGTGATGATGTAAAACAGTATTTGTGGGACAAAAAGGTGAATTAGTGGGTGAATTAGCTGGGTATGGGCAAGCACAAGCTGCAATCAAACATAAACCACTGGCAGAGGGGTACAGGGTTGGGGGAAAGCAGAATCACCGTTTTACCCCAGGGAAAAAGGAGGCTGGGCGGTCACCTCCTCATTCCCCTGGTACTCGTCCCAAATTTCCTGTACAAGCAGAGGAGCCCAAGAGCTATCATTGTAAGTCCATGAGCACCTGAGGAATAAGTGTCCCTTGCTGAGTAGGAACAAGCAGTAAGTAACACATGAAGCTGCTACTTCTCAGAGCCAGGCTGTGGCCTCTTTCCACACAGGATTTGTAAAGCTTGCTTCCACACAACCAAGCAATTAGCATATGCGTACTGTTAAAATCAATGGTGAAGTGCTTCTTGGATTGAAGGACACAGGTGCTAAGATTTCTGTGGTCGGGAGGGACCTGATCCAGGAGAAGGATTTGTTGCCAGGTAAAATGGCAGAATTAGAACTGGTATGGGGTTACAAAGTCCTTGCACCTTTAGCTAAAGTACACATGCAAACTAAGGATTTGCAGGCTGAACTAACTGTTTCCACGGTGGCACACAATTTTGCACCATTTCTACTGGGGAATGGTTTCTTTAATGTGGCAAGATCTGTCCCAGGGTTGGTTAGCAGTAAGAAAAAATCTTGTGCTAAAAGCCCCAGGCGGTGTGTGAAGTCACATGAACTGCTGGTGGAATAGGAGAGTGTCTCTTTTTAGATTCCTCGGTAGCAGTAAAGAATGCAGCTTTGGGGGCAGGGATGGTTGTAGCCAGTTCCTGTAGCCTCAGGCTCAGGGCAAGTTCCAGAGGGAGGGGCTGGAGGAAGCCAGCTCCTGTCCCGTAATCAGCTCCCTGGGAGAGGGGGATGTACCACCTTGTAGCAGGGGGGCCACCCCAGATGCTGACTGCCAGAAAGTTGCAGGTCAGCAGGGGGCAGGGCCCGCCCTGGGGTGCACAAAGACATGCATCCCGAAGGTGTAAGTTGGGGTCCTGGTGACTGCTGGCAAGCCCAACCTGAGTGAAGAGAGGGGAATTTTGCTGGCCAGTAAAGGGTCTATCAGCTTTAGGGCAAGTAATTCAGTCTGTGCTGAAGCAAACAGGTGTGTATGGCTCAGCAAGACAGGGTGCTGGGGTCCCGAGCTGGCAGGGAAAGCAGTAGCAAAGGTAGTCTTGGCACATCAGGTGGCAGCTCCCAAGGGGGGGGGGTGGGGTCTGTAATCTAATGTCACAGGTGGGTGTGCCATCATTTCTCCTATGCTCAGGTGATGGCAATTAGAAATACTGTCTTCATGGACAGGTGTAAGAGCGAACAAGTTGCCATGGACTCAAAGGGAGGTCTAGCCAAAGTCGTGATAACTAGGTTACTATCCCAGGTTGGAACAGGTGGTCTCACATGCGGGAAGAGATTCCCAATGCCCTTAAGGAATCTACATGTCAGCAGGTGAGCAAATACCAATTATCCATCTACCTGGCAGTGGAAAGCCATTTTTGCCAAGAGATATACCTTCAGGGAGCTGAGTGAGAGTTTTGATCTCTTGAGTCTAAAATGTAGTATAAAATCAGAGGGAGGGAAGATGAGATTGGTCTATGGGCTTAGAATGACACCAAACTTGGAAATGTTTCCATATTGTAGGTAAATACATTGAGTGATCAACTTTTGGCTGTGTAGCAACGTGTCGTTCACCTCGTCTGAGAGAGCAGGTGAGGAATGGGCCAAAGAGGAGCCAGAGGAACAGGAGGACATATTGCCATCTGTGACAGGTAAAGGGACCAGACTTGTCTTGGCCAGAAGAGGCAATCAGAATAACTCTCACTTTGTCTCACTGAATTTTCGACAGGACCTTGGATAGAAGAGGAAACTGGAAAAAGGCATACAAGAGGTCCCCATCCCATGGGAAGATGAGGGCATCTCCCAGTGAATGTTTCACCAGGCCAGCCCTGGAGCAGCAACGAGGACATTTCTTGTTCCAGTAAGTAGCAAAGAGATCCATAGTCAGGGTTCCTCAGTGGGTGAATATATCTTGAAGCACCTCTGAGTTTAGTTCCCATATGTGGTCGTGAAAAAAATTCCAACTGAGACTGTCAGTTGTCACGTTCTGTATCCCAGACAGCTGAGATGACCACATTGTGATGGATGCACCAATTCCAAAGTTTGAGGTCTTCCTTGCAGAGGGAGGGAGATCTGGCACCTCCTTGACGATTTATGTAAAATATATAGGTCATGTTGTCCTTCATGACTTTCGTGTGGGTGTTCTTGATGAAAGGCAAAAAGTGTGCACAGGAATTCCTGACAGCCCTTAGCTCCAAAAGATTCATATGGAGGGTCAGTTCTGCCCTGAACCTTGTGGTTGTGTAGGTGAGCTCCCCAGCCTATTAAGGAGGCATCTATCCCAGGACAGTCTGTGTAGCAGGAGGAACGCTCTCACCTGTACTGCATCGAGGCTGGCATTGATAAACTTCAGTTGTTATACCGGACTTAGTATGCCGCTACGATGTAGAGCGCCTTGGAGAATATCCTGGGTGGAGCAGTCTGTACTGATAATGATCTTGCCCAAAGGTAACCCGTAGGATTGTATGGTTGGTTGTATCGAGATATGGAAGTAGACATCTTGTAGGTCGCAGGCTGGAAATCAATCTCCTTGCTCTAGAGCTGGAATAATGGCTGCTAGCATGACCATCTTGAATGTCTGTCCTTCCCGTATTTGTTTAATGCCCTTAGATCTAGAATGGGCCTCCAACCTCCCTTCACCTTAGGGATCAGGAAATCATGGGAGTAAAACCCCTTGCTCCTGAGTTGCACCAGGATTGGTTCTATAGTCCCTAGGCATAACAAATGATAAATTTCCTAATGAAATAGGTTCTCATGAGAAGGGTCCCTGAAGAGGGAAAGGGAAGGAGGGTTGGGATGAGGGTGGAACACGAATTGAACCCTTTGAAATAATCTCCAGGACCCATCTGTCAGAGGTGATATTCTCCCAACTGCTGTGAAAGAGGGCCAGGCGACTTCTGAAGGGGTGTGAGAGGTGTGTAGATGGCAGCTGATGTTGCAAGCAACCCATCAGAAGTGCTTAGAAGAGGCAGTCTGAGAGGTCATGGACTGGGGTGCGGACTGCTTCAGCTTTTGAGCCCTGGCCCTCTTACGCTGTGACTCGTAACAGCGCTGAGATGGTGGGTATTGAGGATGTTGTGACCTGTGCTGTGGCTGAAAGCTATAGCTTCTCTTCTGTCCCACAGTGTGGATTCCTAGGGAGTGTAATGTGGCCCGGAAATCCTTCAGGGTACGGAGAGAAGACTCTGTCCTCTCCGCGAAAAGCTTGGGCCCTTCAAACTGGAGAGTTTCTGCAGCTCTTTGGGCAACCCAGAAATGTGTAGCCAAGAAGCCTGCCCATTACCACTGTCCTGGAGACTGGGCGGGTCGCTGTAACGGCTTGTCCAGTGCTGTTGCTAGACTCTCTCTGAGAATGGCCTGAAACTGTTCCTTTTGTGTCTCTGGTAAATGTTCCAGAAACACATTGAGTTTCCCATAATTGATAAAATCATATTTGGCCATGACAACTTAGTAAGTAGCAACTCTATACTGTAATGTTGCCAACAGATAGGTAGTCCTCCCAGGCAGGGCCGGCTTTAGCAAGTGTGGGGCCCGATTCCTGGGGCTTGTACTCACCGGGCGGCGCTCCCAGTCTTCGGTGGCACTTTGGATTGCCGGCCGGGGGAGGGGGATCGCGGGACTTGCGGCATTCCAGGCAGGGTCGCGGGGCCGTGGGACAGCCATGCTCCAGCCGGGGTCGTGGGGCCACGGGACTGTCACGCTCCGGCCGGAGCTCCAGCCGCAAGAGCGGGAGGCCACGGCGCTTGCGGCGCTCCAGCTGGGGTCATGGGGCTGTGGGGCAGCCGTGCTCCGGCCAGGGTTGCAGGGCTGCGGCGCTCCGGCCAGGGTTGCGGGGCCGCAGGGCTGTCGTGCTCCAGCTGGGAGAGCAGGGCCGCGGGGCTTGCCGCGCTCTGGCCGGCACTCTGGCCAGGGGAGCGGGGCCGCCGAAGACCCCAGAGCGGACCACCGCCGCCTGCCGGGGTGAGTAAAAAAAATTAAAAAGGTGATTAAGGTGCGGGGCCCTCTTAAGCATGGGGCCCAATTCTGGGGAATCGGGCGAATCGGCCTAAAGCCGGCCCTGCTCCGAGGGCTGATCATATGGGGTCGACTTGGCATGATATTGCTTGCCTCATGCATTAACCATATCCACTATAATGGAGTTGGGTTGCAGATGTTGGAACAGGAAGTCTGCTTCTTTGGGAGGGATGTAGTTTCTACTAACTTGGGATGTGTATCCGTCAATTCCTGGAGGGGAATCTGCAGTTCATCTGCCACCCTCTTGGTAAGATCCAGAAAGTTCTTAAAATCAGCACTTAGTGATGGGGGGTCTGTACGGTGCAAGCTCATTAAATTAGTCTGCTCTCCCCTCAATGTGGGAAAGATATTCAACAGTCCTTGTTACCAGAGCTAAGATTTCCAAACACTTCAATCAAAACACACTGGTTAAGATAAAACATAAAACAGGTTTATTAACTATAGAAAGATTTTTAAAAGATAACAAACAGACCAAAGCAGGTTACCTAGGAAATCAAACAAAACCACAATTTAAGTCTCATTCAAACTAGGTAGGATTTGGATCAGCAATATCTCACCCTGACTGATCATACAAAGTTTTAGCTTCCTTACACAGGTATTTCTTCTTTCCCTCCTGGGATCCCCTTCCCTAGTTCAGTCTTTGCGCCTCTGATGTTTCCAGCTGTTGTCTTGTAGGGGAGTGAGTCCCAGTCATGATGTCACTTCCCTCTTATATAGTTTTTCCACAGGGCGGGAACCCCTTTGTTCTAAGCCAGGTTCCCAGCCCAGTTTGTGGAAAAGTACAGGAACCAAAATGGAGTTCAGCATGATGTGGGCTGGTCACATGCTCTTACAAGCCTTCCTGAGCAGCCATTATGCATAGACTGGCTGAAGCATTCCCAGGTGAGGACAAGCCTTTTTCATGGTCCATTGTCTTTGTTGATGGGACATTAGCACTGTTTAGCTTTTTCCTTGATGTGCCTGAAAAGCTAGTTGTGAGTGTTTCGAACTTCACATCATCTTTTAATAACATACATAGCAAAGCTTCATAACTTCACATACAATGACAGCACATGCAATCCAATGAGATTTTAATGTTTAGCAGATCAAGACTTTTAAAATGATACATCACAAGGCATATTTTGTACAAAACATATAATCATATCACCATGGTAAACATGGGGAGGGGGGTTGCCCGCACAGTGCTAGATAGCCTTGAGGCTCTCTTCGAGGGAGGGAGAGTGCATGTGCAGGCTCATTGGACACTGCTACTAAAAATCTCCAATTAGAGGTGGGGGGGGCGCAGATACACCTACAGTGGAGCACCCAGAGGGACACTACTCGAAGAAAAACAATTGATCACCACTCTCTTTGTAACAGCTCTTAACATATTTGGAGGCTATCAGGTTCCCCCTTTATCCCTCCCCCTCCCACACCTTTTTTTTCATGACAAAACATAACCATTTAAAAAAAATCTTTCACCATAGGTCAGGTTTTCTAAACCTTTTATCATTATTGTTCCTCTCCTCTGGATTCTTTCTTATTTGTCAACATTGTTCTTAAAGTGTGGCATCCAAACCTGGACACTATACTCCAGTTGAGACCTCACCAATACTTACTAGACTGTAACAATTAGCTCCTGTTTACATATGACGCTCCTGCTGATGCACCCTCAGAATATTAGCCTTTTTCACAACTCATTGACTCATATTCAATTTGTGATCTATTTTAACACCCAGATCCTTTTCAGCAGCACTGCTGCCTACAGTTGTTCCCCATTTTATTGTTGTGCGTTTGATTTTTCCTTCCTAATGTAGTATTTTGCACATCTTTATTGAATTTCATCTTATTTTATCTTATTCTCCCATTTATGAAGATAATTTTGAATTCTAATCCTGGCCTGCAAAGTGCCTGCAACCCCTCCTAGCTTGATCTCACCAACAAATTTTATAAGCATACTCTTCACTCCATTATTCATGTCCTTTGCATTTATCAGCATTGAATTTCATGCACCAACAAATTGTCCATTCAACTGGCTGAATTAGGTCTTTCTCAGGTTCCTCATAGTCCTCTTTGGTCATGACTGACCTAAGTTATTGTGTTTTCTGTAGATTTCACCACTTCACTCCTTCCCCTACCTTCTTGGCAGTGCCAATATGGAACCTTCTGCCACTGACCTTTTGTTTTGTGTATTTAAATCAGTGGGATTAGTCACAAGGGTTTGTATAGTGCTTAATACAATGGGATCCTTGTCCATGATGTGGGCTCCTGGGTGCTAATGATAATATAAATAAAGTTATGCAGGTGCTTAAGTTCTTTCCTAGACTGGGGGCTACAAATGACTTATTTAGCGTGGTGTGGCTGACTGGAGCACAAGTAGGACTAGGACATCCCTCAACCAAGAAAATGAAACCTGATTAACTTTTTTATTCAGACTCTCTGGTTTTTAAAACCTATTTAAATAAGAGCTTGTCTATCCCTGGAGCTCTTCCTGACTAGCTCCATGGGCACACTTATTCCAGAATAACAATTTAAGCTAAATCAGACAAGGCACTCAATGTATTTTCCATTGTAGGTCACCATTAAGGAACACTTTAATTCAAGGCGTCTCTAGCTTTCCCTAGTGCTAAGGGGCGTTCATTTGATTCTGCTGTAGCTGGTGATACAGCTGCTGGGAAGCAGTCACCTTATTTTGTTCTGAGATTTGTCACAGCTAACTGGACTTTCCTTTCCATTTTTCTGTAGATGCGGTGGCACTCAGCTGCAGGGACTAGGCTCAGGCTGGCAATGGGTTTGAAACTCCCAGGCTCCTACTGTGAGACCCTGACACCTTGATGTCATAGAATTGTTTTGTACAAAGTGTGCCTTGCGAGGTGTCATTCTAAACATCTTGATCTGCTGAACATTAATATCTCAAAGGAAGCTTCAAAGGAAGGTTTGAAAGCTAGAAGCCTCTGGTAAGTGGCTGAGCCTTAATCAGTGGGCGGGGCATTCATACAGGCCAAGGCTTTATAAAGCAGCGCACAAGCGA